AAAAGAAAAACCTCAAATATATAGACATTTAAAAACACACCTCTAAATAATCCATGGGTAAAAGGAAAAAAACCGCAAAAATTAGAAAATTCTGCTAACTGAATGATTATGAGAATATTTCAAAATCTGTGAGATGCAGTTAAAGCAAAGCCTAATGCAAACAGTGTGGCTTTAAATGCGTATGTTAGAAAAGGCAAAAGATCTAAAAATCAGGGACTTACAGGGCCATTTTAAGGCACTAGAAAAAGTGAAGTAATTCCAAAGTAAATAGAAAGAGGAAGAGGCAGGCAGGCAAGGAGTGAGATCAAAAGCATTTTACTAGTATCATGGAAGAGGAATTACTAGTGCATGTATGGCAAACACATGATATAAAAAGGGCATATTTTGACTAACTTTATGCTAGAAATTCAGCAACTTGGATGAAGTGGAAAAATTCTTGAAAAACACAATTTACCAAAACTGATTCTAGATGAAGCAGAAAATAGCACTATATATTAGAGAAATTGGACTTGCTATTAAAAAAAGTTACCAAAAGGAAATACCAAGCCCAGATGGTTTCACTGATGAATTCTGTCAAACATCTAAGAGTTAATACTCATCTTAAACAAATTCTTATAGAAAATGGAGGTGAAAGAACAGTTCCTAACCCACTTCATGAGGCCAGCATAACCCTAAGCCTGAAAAGACATTGTAAATAAAAGAAAATTACAGACCAATTATCCGTCATGAACAGAGGCATAAAAATACTTAGCATAATTTTAACAAATCGAATCAAGTAATAAAGATATAAAGCACCATGACCACACCAGGTTTATCCTAGAAAAGCAAGGCTGATGTAACATTCAAAAATCAATCAGTGTAATTTACCACATTAAACAGAATAAAGGAGAAAAGCCATAGATTAACAGACTCTGAAAATTATTTGACAACATTCAATACTCTTTCAAAATTAAAAACGAATGAAACAATAACCTTCCAGCAAAACAGATAATGAAAGGGGACCTCCTGAATTAAGGGCATCTATGAAACACCTGTAGCTAACATTGTACTTGCTGATGAAATTTTGACCATTTGTTCCTCAAAAAGATCTGAAGTAAAGTGAGAGTACCTGTTCTTACCACTTCTATTCATCATTGAATAAACTGTCCTAGCCATTGCAATTAGGTGAGAAAAAATACATAAAAGACATACAGATTAGAAAGGAAGAAGCAAACACTTTTATTTATAGATGGCATGATTATTTATGTATAAAGTCCTAAGATACCTACAAAATAACTACTAGAACCAAAAGATGAATATAGCAAGGTTGCGAGATAGAAGGTAAATGTACAAAAATCAATTATATTTTTCTATATTAGTCCCAAACAATTGGAAAATGAAAATTAAAAAAAAAATTATATTGATAATAGAGTAAAAACCCTTATAGTATTTAGGAACAAAAATGTGAAAAGACATGTAACATCTGTATAGTGGTCACTTAAAATATTGCTGTGATAAAGAAAATCTATCATGCATTATACTATGATTATGAATTAAAAGACTTACATTGTTAAGATGTTAGTACTCCCCAAATTGAAATATAACTTTATTTAATTCTAAATAATAATCCTCGTAGGCTTTTTTTTTTTTTTTACCTCTTGGTAAAAATTGACAATCTAATTCAAAACTGTATGAAAAGGACTGAAAATATACAAGGGCTTAGAATAAAGCACTCTTGAGAAAGTACAACAAAGTTGGAAGACTTAAACCATCTGACTTCAAGATGGTACACAGCTACAGTGATCAGTGTATTGCTGGCATAAATGTTGACCAGTAGATCAACGGAACACGGTAGCCCAGCACTGGACCCTCACATTGTGGTCACTTGATTTTCAACAAATCACCAGAGTGAACAACTTGGGAAACAAAAGTATCTTCTGTAGATAGTGCTGGAACAACTGAGTATTTATATGGAAAAACAGTGAACCCTAACCCCTTACTCATGTCATGTAAAAATTTATTCAGCATGGAGCACAGACAGAGCTATACTATAAAGCTGAAACCATAGAGCTTCTAGACTATTCTGTAGAATTTCCTGCGATGTTAAGTATGGCCAGTATTTGCTGTCATCTAGTAAGGCGGCTGCTAATCATATTATCAAGTGTTTGAAATATGGCTATTGCAACTTAGGAAATGAATTTAAATTTTTATATAATTTTAAATGAATTTATTTTTAAATAGACTTAAGTGGCTCACGGCTACCATACTGAACACTGCAGTTCTAGAAGACAGCATAGGAGAATGTCTTCACAAGCTGAGGGTAGGGGGCTGTTCCTTAGGACACAGGAACCAATAGCCATAAAAGAGGAGGGGAATTAGACTCATCACAATTTACAACTTTTGCTTTCAAAAGACACCACGAAGAAAACAAACTACAGACTGGGAGAAGATATTTGTAACACAAATACACTGACAGAATCCTGGTATTAGGATATATAAAGAACTCCCTAGAGTTCAATAATGAAAAGACCTGCAGTCCAATTAAAATGTAGGTGAAATATTTGAGCAGACGACATACACATGCCCAATAGGCAGCAGAAAAATGCTCGGAGTAACTTGTTGTCGTGGAGATGCAACTTAAAGCACGAAATACTACCACATACACCTCAGAAAGGCCAACCTTTTAAAATTAAAACTGACTATTAAATGTTGAAGATTTGGAACAACAGGAATTCTCATACATGGATGGTGGGAGTGTAAAATGGTATTATTTTGGGAAAAGTTCTGCCAGTTTCTTCTAAATTTGTAAGAGAACCCATCAGTTCTATTCCTAGACATTTACCTGAGAAAAACAGAAACATACATTCACAAAAAGACACACACAAGACCTAGTCGTTCTATTCATAATGCCCAAGAATTAGAAAAAGAGTGCTAGTAAGAAAATGGATAAAGTAAATGACCTGTGACATATTTATACTATGGAATCTATCACTCAATAAAAAGGAACACATTACTTATGTAAGTAGCCACATGCATAAATCTCAGAAACTGTGTGCAAGTGAAAGAAACCTTACCTAGAAGGGCACGTGTCGTAAGATTTGATTCATATGAAGTTCAAGGAGAGGCAAAAATAATGTGAGATGGAAAAATACTGCAAATGTGGTTGCCTCTTAATGGGGGATGAGATTGACTAAGAAAAAGCATGAGGAACTTTCTGGGGTTATGATGATGTTGATTCAGGCCTGTGTTACATACTTCTGTGCACTTGTCAGAACTCGTAGAATGGTACCCTTAGGATTTGTGCATTTTTATTTTATGTAAATTTTATCTGAAAATAATTTGAACCATAGCTAATGATATGTTTAGGGGTTTAATGTACCGAAGTCTATAGCTTACTTTGAAATGCTTCAGTGTAATAAAATGGATTGACGTATGGCCAGTGGGATGATTGATGATGACAAAGTAAGGACAGTAAATGTTCATTATAGACTCAGGTAGTGGGTGTATAAGTGCTCCCTTTTGGCTTCTAAGAATTAAGAATTCTTAATTCTGTCCATTTTCCTGTATGTTTGGACATTTTCCTAATGAAATTGGAAAACTGTTTAATAAGACTTTTTGTTATAAGAGTGATATATGCCACACAAAGATACTTAGAAAATGTAGGCAATAAAAGCAAGAAAATAATATTTTCTGTAGCCCAGCCATCCAAAACTCATGGTTACTTGACATTTTTGCTCTCAGTCTTTCTTTTTGCTCTTTTTTTTGCGCTAACATGATCATGTTTTATATGCTGTCTTATTATCTTACACTTGTATCCTGTAGAAATATCCTACTTTCCCCCAGTTAGTTTTGTAGCATATTATTCCCACTGCCAGGTAATATTCTCCCCAGCTAAATGTAAGCATCCACTTGGGTTGTGTGTTTAGACTGTTTTTCATATCTGACTGATAGAGGCCTGCAATGGATATCATTTTACAGAAAGTTTGTTCCGTGTGTGGCACCCTGGGCAGTGAAAGTGCCATGTTGGAGAGTATATGACGTTTCAAAGCCCTTCATACACACTGTCAAACCTTCCCTCCCTTTCCTTACAGGATGGTCCCGGAGACATCTCCACAGGACCCCAAAGTTCCTCAGAGCCTAATTAGAACACCACCCGCTAATCTGGCATATTTGAGTTATTCACTGGCTGTGTGTCGAAGTGGATTTTTTAAGTAATTAATCTATTTTTGCCATTCTGAGGTTCAGAGGGGATTGGTAACTTGCCAAAGGTCCTGGCCAGTAATTGGCAGAGCCACCATCTGATCCTACATACGTCAAGGCAGTATTCAGCACAAACAGGTGCTTAATAGCATTTATTAAATGAACACATGGATAATTGAAGGTCCCAAAGGCTTAGATCAATTTAGAGTTTTATTTCCTACGTATTTCCCTTTAGAACTATGAAAGACTTAGGTTAGTTTCTTTGTGATATGAGCCTGGACGATGTCCTCATTCGCATACTGATTTATTTGTTCTGTCCACACCTACCTGGTGCAAAGGAAGCAGGCTTCTGATTTTCCTTTGGCTCAGAACACAGGTAAAGCCCTTGTGTAACAAGGTGCTAATTGATATATTGTGGGAAATGTGGTCCAGGTCACAGTGACATGACAATCCTGAGGACTCTTCGCCTTCGAGTGTGGCTCACAAAAGGATGTATGTGTGGAGTGTTTGATTCTCTCCCGTGAGGGAAGTGTTGTCTATAGGTTTCCACAGGCAGCGGGCGTGTTCTCTGGTGTTCCCCGTGTCTGGGCATCCTGCACACTCACTGGGCAGTGAGCTGGGGCTGTCGTCAGCGCAGACACTGTCCGGTGCCCCGGGAAGTTGTGATTCCAGGGGCTGTGGAGGCTTCTGGCTTGTGGGGAAACAGACTAGAGTGGGAGGGGGCAGTTCCTTTATGAGCAAGCTCAGGAAGAAGGATCATCTGTCCTTGTGCACAAGGAAGAAGCTAGGCTGTTCCTCATTTGTCACAATTCTCTCCTCAGAGAACGGATCAAGTACTGCTGTGAGCAGCTGCGCACCCTGCTGCCGTACATAAAGGGGAGAAAGAGTGACGCGGCTTCCATCCTCGAGGCAACGGTCGATTATGTGAAGTTTGTCCGGGAGAAAATCCCTTCAGCCGTTATGGGCCAGGTGTTCCGCTCTCCAGCCCTTGAATTTTATCCTCAAAGACAATGCTTTAATACTTCCTAATTTTTTTATTAGTGGAAATGTATATGTGTTTATATACGAAAAAATATGGCTATCTAAATACATCTCTCTCTCTATTTTTTTTAGATTACAGAAGCACTTCAGAGCAATAGGAGGTTTTGTAAGAAACAACAGATGCCCATCCAGCTGTCCGTCCCGGGCACGATCATGGCACAAAGGTACGTTGAGGGCACTTGGGAATCTGAAGTCGGCTTGTTACTCTCCTCCGGTAGTAATGCTGGACGTGAGGCAGGCACTGAGCGCACGCATAATGACAACTCGGGTGTTTATTAAGAACCAGTGGACTTTTCCTGTTGCTGACGTGTGTCATTTAATCACAGTCGTAGGATGTGTAATAGTCTCAGGCCCGTGATCCTTTCCTCGCTTGACTCACTCTTAGCCCTTTTGTGGTTTCTGAGGATCCTAGAAAAGGGGCTTTACAAGCAGTGGCTGCTGTGACTGGCAGTGCAGTCGGGCCAATGGGTCTAGCTTCCCTCTGTCTCCGGAGGGCAGGGCCCTGGAGCCGTCCAGCTGCACTCCACTTAGAAGTCCCTACACGAATGGCCAAGGTGCGATGTGCCGAGTGAGTGCTTCCTTATTTAAATTTACTAGAATGTGTAAACAAAAACTATACAGGAAAAGTAAATCACATTCCTCCACATCCTAGAGAACCAGCATAAGTCCTGTTGTACGGTTTGTTCTTGTATTTGATCCAGAGTTTAGGCTCTGTCTGTGCTTTTTAGAACTTGAATGATAGACGAGGAGTTCAGCTCGGCAGCATTGGTACCATTTTTCCTCGAGAAATGCGTAAAGTATGTTTTCTGTCCTTTTAAGGGAAAACAGCGTGTTGACAAGCACTTACTCACCTGTGAGAGGCATCAGATTCCTGTCTAATAAGTGCTTGAATGTGTACTCCGTTCCTGCCTCTGGGGGCTCCTCGGATGAGGCTGTGAGAGGTGAGCTCCGCCCGAAGCCCGTGTGCGGCTGCAGTGTGCGGGTCTGCGGGCGTCCTGCTGGCCCCGGGCTCCTGTGCAGACGCTGCCATCACCAGGGGGTGGAGCGTAGCTGGGAGATGTGGGCTGAGTCCTCTGGTGCTGGCTGCTTGACGTACACAGCTGACCACCGGCATTTCAATAGTGTTATCCCAGAAATTTGGCTCAAAACTGACTGTCGTTACCAGAAGCACCCTGGTGACTATCATATGACTAGAATCTAAAGGGAAGGGAAATACTCACATTCATTCAGAACTAGCCACGTACAGGCAGACCTAGGAGATGTTGTGAGTTCAGTTTCAGACCACTGCAATAAAGCGAGTATCACGATAAAGCAAGTCACACACGTTTTTGGTTTCCCAGTGTATATAAAAGTTATGTTTATGCTATCTCATAGTCTATTAACTATGCAATAGCCTTATGTCTAAAAAACCAATGTATATACCGTAATTAAAAATACTACTATAAAATGTTAACCATCATCTGAGCCTTCAGTGAGTAGCAGTAGTAACATCAGAGATCACCAATCACAGATCACTATAACAAATACAATAATGAAAAGGTTTCAGATATCGTGGGAATTATCCAAATGTGACACAGAGACATGGAGTGAGCAAATGCTATTGGGAAAATGACACCTATAGACTTGCTCAGTGTGGGGCTGCCACAAGCCTTCAGCTTGTTAAACAAAAAAAACAAAACAGCAATTTCTGTCTGCAAAGCACTACAAAACGAGGTTTGCCTGTACTGAGCATTTAACGTATTAATTTACTTCTGTCCTTCATATCTTTGCTTAATTGTCACCTTCTCAGTGAGTCTTTCTTAGTCACCCAATTAAAACTGCACACTCCCTCCCAGCATCCCATAACACGTGGAACCCCTTATCCACTCTCCCTGCTGTATTTTCCTTCATGGCATTTATCACCTCCTAATATTCTTTACTTGCATATTTTTATTGCCTGTCTTCTGCCCCTAGAATATCAATGCCATGAGGACGGGGTTTTTTGGGGGTTTTTTTTGCCCATTTTGTTCATTGCTGTATTTCTGGTACCTAAAGCAATGACCAGCTCACAGTAGGTGATCAAGAAACATGTGTTACATGAACATTTATTGTGAATATTTACCCAGCGTGAAGCGTTTTTGCTACGTGTGTTATAAAGTCTAGGCATGCCCGCGTACTTGCAG